TTTAAACAAACTCTCTTGTGGAAATACATTATCCCTATAATGATAATGCATACAAAGTAAATGCCATAAAAAAGTGCCATCATCTATATTTGTGGTAGAAAATGAATAATGCGAGGATATTTAGGTGATGGGACGATAAACGGCCAAAACTGGAATCCCATCTGCGAAGCGGTGTCTCTTTCATTGCAGGAGCTTCATAAAATTCCCTTTCTCCCGGGCACCGCTCTTAATGGTGTTTTAGCGCCCCGGGGCGCAGACATAAAAACGAATTTATACTCCTCCTTTTTAACCTCGCCTTCTGTTCCAGCCTTTTCGCTGTTTGTTTTCTTTTTTCCTTTTGTTCTTTGGGCTATCGAGTTAGTTCTGGGGCTTTTGTTTCCCATTTACTGCTTGTGAGGTTTCGCTGGCTTCAGGAGAAACGGTAACCGCAACGTGAGGGAGATGGAAGTGGATGCTGATACGAAGCGGATTTGATGAAAGTGGAAGACATTTTTGACAATTTTTTCCTGGATTTTCGTAAAATATGGGAAATTGTAATGAAATGAACGATTTCCAATGTATGGTATAAGCATTTGAAAAAAAAGCACTTTTGCTTTAAGAATAAATAAATAAAAGTCTACAACCGACATCTTTATCTCTTGAAGGATTTTACAGTTTGACGAATATGAAGATTAAGCTAAGTTCACCATAATGTAAAAAAAAATAGATTTTTTTAGAATCTTTAATAAATAAAAGTCCTACCACCGACATCTTGTAGGATTTTGGGTCTTTTGTCAGTTCGAAGTGTGTGAAGATTAAGATAAGTTCACCATAATGTAAAAAATTTTGATTTTCTTAGAGTCTTTAATAAATAAAGGTCCTACAATCGACATCTTGTAGGAATTTGGATCTTTTGGCAGTTCAACGAATGTGAAGGTTAAAATATGTTCATCATGAGGTAAAAAGTTTGATTTGATTAGAATCGTTAAAAGATATGTTTGTATGAACTAAATTTCAAAAGATGGATTCTGAGTTTACATTTTTCACTTTTGTTTTTGCAAAATGAAGTTTTACAATTTGTTTGAAAAGGGTCAACTGCAAAGAGGACAGTCGTTGATTAAATCCAATTCCAAAAACAAAAAATAAAAATAAATAAATCGGTCTATAAAGAGAAAATAAATCAGTCTACGAAAGATAAAATTAAATCGGCCTACTCTAACGTATTAGTCAAAAATAATATTTTACGTACAAATGGTTTATGGGTCTGCTGTATGTATCGACCAAAATATAATGCTGATATATGAATGCCAATGCTCAAAGTACTTTTGTTCAATTTGAGAATGCAGACAAATGTAAATGGATAGTATTTTTTTTTCTTAAAATTATTGACCATTGTGTTGGCTAATGTTTTATAGACGTAGAGACGATGTTAAAACCTTCGAGAAAAATTATAGTTATTTATTATTCATAAATTTAGTGTTCCTATTTAATACAAAGTTAACCCTAATAGTTTGCATAAAGCAAGAGTCGCGTAAAAGTTCTTAGTTATTTTAATGTCAGTCTTATTAGAAAACTAATAATAAAATAAATTATAAACAACTGAAGTCTGCTCAGCAAATTTCAACTTATCATGTGTGAACATTGGAGAACGGATAAATAAACTCAGGAATATGCCAATGTTTAATAATGCACGAGCTATAGGAAGCAATTCATTGGAATACTACAAGAATGGCCAAATAAAAAATAGCCACAAGAATATAGCAATGTTTAATACATCAAAAACTTCATGAAGAATGAATTGTTCAAGAATCTCTAAAAGAATATACAAAAGTAAGATAAATGTAGTCGTAAATGAAGAATGGAGTATTCCAAATTTTACAAGAAGCGTTATCGCATACAATACCCAAAAGAATATATCAAAGTTTGAAAATTCTAGCCAAAAATGAAGAATGAAGTATTCCAAATACAATAAGAATCGCTATAACATTCAATAGTCAAAAGAATATATCAATGTTTAAAAATTCTAGGCTTAAATGAAGAATGAAGTATTCCAAATACAATACGAAGCACTGTACAGCTCCATAAGCACGGGAAAATGCCAAAAGTGATAAATATGAAACTTCAAGAAGAAGGAATTGATCAACTCACTATGAGTACTTATAGCTATTGGGTATACAAAAGTGATTCAAAACCATGCTACAAAACACTTCAAACAAAAGCCAAATTCTCCAGAAAATTCCTGAAGACTAACGTTATTCATAAAGCATTTCAAGAGTTAAAAAGCACAAAGTACCCTTTTCCTCCAAAATGTGTTTGGAGCTTTGCTTGGCCCTCATTTTCAGATAACGTCACGGAACTAACCAGGACAACATCATGTTCACACATGATAATTAAAACTTTTTATGGGCTGGGCCGATATACAATTACCTATATAATTTAGAATTTAATGTAAGAATAAAAATGATTTCCTTTTTTTGAAAATATCATTTTCACTTTAAAATAAAAATGCCTTTGCTTTCACCAAACGGTCTTTCAGAACAATTTTACATTATAAAAATTATCTAATCATTAATTCGTGAAAGAAATTTAAATTAAATATTATGCATAAAAATAACCGTGAAAGAAATTTAAATAAACTAATAAGAATAACTTGTGAAAGAAATTAAAAAAAAAACATTAACTAATATGAAACATTGAAAGTGGTCAAGGACACAAAGAAATTGATCAAAGAAACGAAAAACTCCACTCAGGAAAACAATACCCATGATTTTATGTGTAATAAAACTTAATAATGCTGATTACAATTTGTTTACAAAAATTTTTCATAATAAAATGAAATACATACTTTTAGTTTTTAATTCTATGTAATCATTATTTAGCTCATATTTTATTCGATTTATTATTTTTTTTCTCATAAGACAGGCATTACCTCATATAAGACTGCTGTCATAAAAAACGCAACATTAACTATTTTTTTCTATTTTTGTAACAAAGCTTCACTGACTATGAAAATATATATAGAGAGATTTTGTCCGACACGATTATCAATCAAAAGATTGATTGTCGATTTTTTTTCGTTTATTTGATTTATTCTCATAAATGCCGGAACCAGTCGGAAAATTTTATGAAGTCATGTCTTTATTCTACCGAACTATAATCACCCTTTGGATGTGACTATACCACATGTGACTTTAATATGAAATATGATTTATGTAATGTGACTTTACCAAACATTGTTATGAAAATTGCATCAATCAATTATTTCGTTAAGGTAATAATTTTGGACTGAAGTTTAATTTTGCAACATTTTGTAACTCGTATAAAACTGCATAAATATATGTTTTTTTGTCATTATCTCTTATGTTGCTTTAATTAAACTCTTATAAGTGCAAAAACTAAATCTGACATATTTTCTTTAATGTCCTTAATAGTTAAGAAAATAATACAAAATATTTTTTTAAAAAACAATAATACAAAATATTAAAATAATAATAATAATAATAATAAAAAATAGTAAAAAAAAATAATACAAAATATTAAAAAAATTGCAATCGGTTGGGTTGATATACAAGTTATTCATAAAATAACCATTGCTGTTATGCGTTTTGTAAGAACAAAACGTATAATAGCAATCTAAAAAAAATCCAAACGATTTTTAAAAAGTGTAGAATTTCAAACGATTTTCTTTTCTCGAAAATTTTAGTTTTCAATATGAAACAAAACTGCATTTGCTTTAATCAGACGATCTTTTAGTGCAATTTTACATTATTTAATTATATAATTATTAGCAGGTGAAAGAAATTTAAATGAACACATAAGAAATTGAAAAGCAAACATTAACCAATAAGAAACATTGAAAGTAGTCAAGGACAAAAATTGATCAAGGAAATAGCTCCTCTGTGGAAAACATTACCCTTAATTGTATGGGTAATAAATCTTAATAACACTGACTACAATTTATTTAAATAATTTTTTCATAATAAAATTAATTAAAAATTTATACATAGTTTTAATTTTTAATTCTATATAGCCATTATTTAACTTGTATTTTATTCGTTTTATCATTTTTTTTTCTCATATTGGTATTACCCCATATAAGACTGTTGTCACGAAAATGCAACATAACATTAACTATTTTTTTCTATTTTTTGTGACAAATTTTTCAAATGTCTTTCAAACATAGAGGAAGCTTTACTGACTATGAAAATATATATATATAGATTTTATACCCCATGATTATCAATCAAAAAATGGATTGTCGATTTTTTTTTTCATTTATTTTGATTTATTCTCATAAATGTCAGAACCAGTCGTAAAATTTTATGAAGTCATGTCTTTATTCTACCGAACTATAATTACCCCTAAATGTGACTACACCACATGTGATTTTAATGTGAAATGTGACTTTACCAAACACTGTTATGAAAATTTCACCAATCATTCATTTCGCAAAAGTTATAGTTTTGGACTAAAATATAATTTTGTTACATTTTGTAACTCGTACTCATATAAAACTACATAAATAAATGTGTTTTTTTTTGCCGTTATCGCTTGTGCTGTTTTAATTAGACTCTTATAAGTGCAAAAGCTAAATCTGACATATTTTCTTTAAAGTCTTTAATAGTTAAAAAATAAAATATTAAAAAAATAATAATACAAGATATTAAAAAAAGGGTAAAAAATTGCTGTTATGCGTTTTGTAAGAACAAAACTCATAATAGCAATCTTGTTGTTTGTTTTTGTTTGTTTCTTATCCCACTTGGCTGACCAAGCCCACAAGCCCATATGGACTCATGATTGAAGGGGAAGGAAGCAGCTTCTGTTGTGATGGAGCACCCGTAGGTAGAAGCCTGACTTTTGCTCCATGACGCTCTTACAGTCATAGAAGACCGGGACCTACGGCTTAAAGTGGATTTCGAACCACTACAAACATCCATGGCACCGCCGGGATTCGAACCCGAAACCTGTGGCACCGAGCGCCAGAGCGTTAGACACTCGGCCATTCAGGTCCCAAATTTGCCAACGGCACGCAGTGTTCCCAGGTGGTCACCCACCCAAGTACTGACCGCGCCCAATGATGCTTAACTTCGGTGATCTAACGAGAACCGGTATATTCACCATGGTGCGGCCGTTGGCTATAGCAATCTTAAAAAAAAAAAAAAATCCAAACAACTCTTAAAAAGTATAAAATTCCAAACAATTTTCTTTTCTTGAAAATTTTCATTTTCAATTTGAAATAAAACTCCATTTGCTTTTCTAAAAGATCGTCTGGTTAAAAGCTAATACAATTTTATTTACATCATTTAATTATATAATATTAATTAATCAATGTAAATTAATTAAAATCATATTACATTAATTTTTCTCCTGAATTATTAAATAATTACTCAATTACTTTGTAAATAAATATTATAGTTAAAACAACTCGTGAAAAAAAAAATAGAAGAACGGGAAAGAAATTAAAAAAATATGTTTCATGCTTTAAAATTACTTAACAATATTTTTTACAAGTATTGCTTTTTTTACCATCATTAACTTCATCCACTAAGTTGGGATGTTGGACTTGTTCCAAATAGTTGCAACATTTCAGAGGGGATAAAAGACGATTGAGGATTACGTTTCTTTTGATTCTCCTTCCGTTTTGTCATTGGCTTTAATCCACTTACCAGACTTCCGAATTGGAGAAAGGGATTTCGTTTCGCGCCAAACGCAGCAGACTAGTCGTCGTCTCACCATTTCCCCCTCTTTTTTTCCCTTAACTAACAGTGACAGTTGCTGTTTTTTTTTTTTTTTTTTTTTGGTTGCTTCTCCTAATTCAGATGTTATTATTTTTAGACCAGACTTAACTTTTCATTCTAGAAAGTAATTTGGTAGAAAAATCTGCAACAGTGTCTCTAGTGTAATTTTAGCTTTAGTCTTTGTTAATAAATAATTCAGAAAAAAATCAATGTAAAATAATAAAAGAATTAATAAATAACTACTCAATTACTTTGTAAATAAATATTATACTTAGAAACGCTAGTGAAAAAAAATATAAATAATAGATAAAGAAATTAAAAAAAATAAAAGCTCATGAAATAAATTAAAAG